CCCTTCCCCGCGGCCCAGGCCGCCGTGGTGAGCAGTGTGGGCTCCCCGGAGGGCTGAGCACCAGCTCCTGTAGCTGCAGAAAGACAGGGCAGCTGGAGCCCGTGCACAGCTCAAGGAGGTCTACTCTCCTGCAGTAGGACAGGGCGACCCCTACTGAGATAGCCCCACCTGTGTTCCCAGCCTTAGTCCCAGAATCAAGTTAGCTGGCATGTCGTGTGGAGCCTGTGAGCCGAATCCTAACTCCAGGCGCTTATCGCTATTTATTGGGTGCTGGGGGTTGGATCCAGGGCCTTCACACTGAGCTACATCTCCCCCCTTTTTGGAGACTGTATCACTAAGTTACCCAAACTTAAACTGGCCCAAACTTCAGTCCTTCCCCGCCTGCCTGCAACTACGGTTGGTCGTGTGCCTGCACTCCCAACCGTTATCCTTATTTTTTTTTTTAAGACAGGGTCTCAACGGGCATGGTGGCACACCCCTGTAATCCCAGCGCTCGGGAGGCTCGAGGCAGGAGGATCTTTGCAAGTTCAAGACCAGCGTGGGGTACAAAGTGAGCTCAAGGCCAGCCTGAACTGCATAGCGAGAACCTGTCTCAAAAAGATAAAAAAAAAAAAAAGAAAAAACCAATGTGTTCACAGCAAATAAAGGACATTTTCTTTCAAAAAAAAAAAAAAAAAAAAAAAAAAGGGTCTCACTATATAGTTCAGGCTGGCCTTGAACTTACTGTGTAGCCTAGGCTGGCCTTAAACTGGCAGGGATCCTCCTGTCTGTTTCTCGAGTTCTGGGATTACAGGAGTGTAATACCACACCGTCTGCCGTTCTTATTTTAATCTCAGTGATAGCGCCAGCCCTAACTCCACGCATTTGCCTTTGAGCATTCCTCATCTCCCCCCTCACAGGGTCTCTCAATTCCCGATCTCAGCATCAGCCCCAAATTTGACTGGAGCGCTTTGAAGAAACCCTTTCTACCTCCTCCCATTCCCCTGAACTTTTTAGAGCTCTGGGTTCCATCCTCCTTCCATCTGCTCATCTGTTCTCTCACCCACCTCTTTACCATCTGGTCACAAGGCCTGGCCCATTAGGCCTTCCTTCCTGTGGATCCAGAACAGCCTCCCTTCCCAGCCCACCCACCTCACCCCTGCCGTTCCAACCTGGGGGGCGGGCTCTTCACCTGCTGGCTCTGTGTGCCAGGACCCATCCTCTCTTGTGGCCGAGGGTGGCAGTGCTGTGAGAGTTGGGGGGCCCAGGACTAGAGCAGGAGAAAAGACAGCAGGGTCAGAGGCTGAGATGCAGCTTCCTAGTCAGCCAGGGTCGTGGCAGAGACGAGGGTTTTCCGGAAGACAACAGATTTTACTTTTGGGTTCGGGCCTCAGACCCAGCTGGGATCCAAGTGGTAACTTATCTGTGCTTATAAATGTACAGCATACACTTCCCAGTTTACACAGGGCTTTCACAGACCTGCTGTCATTTCCCCCAGTGTCCGGGGTTCTCTGAAGCCCAATATGCCCAGGACGTGGAGATGCAGAAGGCCTTGCCCACCAAGGAGGGCCAACCTGTCCTGAGGGGCTTGCAAAGCAGGTCTCATCGCCATCTTCCAGCTAAAATAGGGCTAGGGATGGCAAGGGGATGCTCAAGGCCCGAAGCAAGGTCAGCCTGTGGCTCTGCTGGGCTCAGGGTGTGAGGATGGTCAAGGCTTTGCCTCTCTGGGCCTCAACTTTCCCACTCATAAATAGAGATGAGACCTTGGGTTGCTACAGGTACTCTCCATCTTGTAAAATGGAGTCCTCTATGAAATGGCTTTATTGAGGGCTGGGGATGTGGCTCAGTGGTAGAGCTCTTGCCTTGCATGCATAAGGTCCTGGGTTCGATCCCCAGCACCACATACATTAAAAAAAAAAAAAAAAAGGCTTTATTGGCCCTAGGATTCCCCTTTACTGAGAACACTTCCCAAACTGGAGAAATCCGAGGTAGGAAGAGAATATTAGTAGGTACTAGGTGACTCTGAAGTGACTCTAGGGCAATTCAAGAGTCTTGTTGCTTTTTCTAATGATTCCATGAAGAATTCTTGGAAATTGCTAGAAAATTGTGGAAGTTCTCAAAGGAGTGATGCCGAAGTACTGAAACAGCTGTGGAGTGTGTCACGAGCAGGACTGGGATATTGTGAGGCACCTTTTATAGCATTACTGAGATAATGTAAATCATTTTGGGGCCTTCCTGGAGAGCTCTGCTAATCATCAAGGAGGCCAATTCGCCCTTCCCACCCTGACCTCAGCTAGCCTCCTCCTGGCCACGCCCCCGCCCGCTCTGCCCCGGCCACGCCCACTCCGCCCCGGCCACACAGACACCCACCCCACCCCACCCCCGGCCCGCACCTGCGCAGTGCGCGCCCGCGTCCTCGTGGTGGCCGCAGTTGTGCACGCCCCAGCCAAGGCTCTGACAAGCGGCCAGGCGGGGCTCGCTGCCTTCGCAGTGCACGTTGTCCAGCAGGATGTGCCCCGTGCCATAACCGAAGAAGGCGTTGGTGGTGGCGGCCAAGACCGTTCCGCAGCCCAGCTGGCGGCAAACCACGGCGGCGTCCGGCAGCCCCCAGTCATCGTCGCACACCGTGCCCCACAGGCCGCCGTGCAGGATCTCCACTCGGCCCTGACACGGGCCCGTGCCCCCAACTAGGCGCACACTGCCCTCGCCTGTGACGGGGGCGGGACAGAGAGCATCTCCCGAAAGGTTCCCGCCGCCCAATCCCTGCCCGAGCCCTCCACATCCACAGTGCTGTGTGCCTCAGGTCCCAGAACCCGGGGGTGCTGTCTCCTCCTGGCCTAGATAGGGGTGGCTGGTGGGCGCACGAGACAGCCAGCTCTGATTGTCAGCCTTGCCTAAAACCAGTCCTCACAGCCGGGCTTGGTGGCACACGCATGTAATCCCAGCACTCGGGAGGTTGAGGCAAGAGGATTGCTGCAAATTCAAGGGGAGCCTGGGCTACATAATAGTGAAACCCTGTCTCAAAAAACCCAAAAACCAGTCCTCACTTCTCTTGTCCCTGCTGTCATGGAAGGCTAGGACGTGCTGCTTCCTTATTTACTACTGCCCAAGGAAAATCTCATCTTTCAAAATGCAGCCCCCACAACTCCGTGCAGCCCTGCTTGATCTGACCCTCTTCTTCCTCTGTCTCCTCCTACCCCGGGCTTGGAACCCAAGCTAGATAAGAGCCCTAACAACGAGCTACACCATCCACAGCCCTTTATTACATTTTATTTTGACACAGGGTCACTAAATTGCCCAAGCTGGATTAGACAATCCTCCTGCCTCAGCCTCCCATTGTGCTGGGATTACAGGTATGTGCCACCATGACACCAGGAGACTCATCAACATTGCTCCATCTCTCTTAGCTTTCAATTCGTAATCCCTGTCTTCCTACTACCTGGGGTAGAGTGTGAGTCCCCTCAGACCCAGGGGATCGCTGTCACTATCCTGCAGTCCCTCACTTACCTTTCCCATTCTGAGGAGTTGTAGGGGGCGCTCTGCTGATTAACTTCTTCCTTGCTGGTGGCTGGGTGGGCAAGAATTCTGGGACGGGAAGCAAGGAGGAAAGAAGGAATCAGGGATCTTTCTGTTCTCCATCCTTGCACCCAAAGTAGGTGCCTGCACCCAGAGCCTCCAGCCACAAAGGGTCAGAGCCTCTCCTCCAACACTAGGCGGTGCAGCTTCTGCCTGAGTCTGCAGGACAGCCGGACCCTGGGCAGTTCCTACAACCCTGCTGCCTGCCACCATCTGTCTGCCCTCCAGAGGTCCCGGGCCTCTGCTCACCGTCACACAGGACGGCCACGTCCTCGTAGTGGAAGCAGTTGTGGACACCCCAGCCCCGGCTGCCACACTCGCTCAGCGCCGCCTCTTGCCCACGGCATTCCACGTTGTCCAGCAGGATGGGGCCCCTGCCCTGGCCAAAGGCGAGGGGTCTCGGCACGGGCAGTGCCAGGCCACAGCCCAGCTGACGACACACCACATTGGCATCCACCACGTCCCAGTCATCGTCACAGACGCTGCCCCAGGAGCCACTGTGCAGGACCTCTAGGCGCCCGCGGCAGCGGCTTGGGCCCCCCACCAGCCTCAACTCTGCAAAGAGGGTTGAGCTGGCACCGGGGGTCCCTATGCCCAACCCACAGGATGCCCACTTTGCTGTGAAGCCTGGGGAGTTTTGGGATCAGTCCCTTCTGTGAAATGGGGAGACTGTGGTGGTGCTCTGGAGGGGGGGTGTCGGGGGTCACGAGGGCTCAGGGTGCCAGAGGAACAGCTGGGGGCAGGGTAGGGAGCAGGAGGGAGGGGCAGGCACCTACCTGGCAAGGGCAGCAGAGTGGGCTGCAGGGCGCTGGCTGAAAAGAGTGAGGAGGAGCGTGGGCCCCTCTGCCCGTCCTTTGGCTGCCAGGTCCCAGGAGCACAGCCTCCTCTCCTCCATGGTCCTTGCTGTCACCCTCGCCCCTGACTCCCATCTTTCCAAAGTCCACCAGTGCCTTCTGGATCTGTTGAGGTCAGCCTCCCTGACCCCACCATCCTCTCCCAGAGAGGGCCACAGACCACCCCAGAAAGATCTGCAAGATCAGGGCTCTGTGGCACGCACCTATAATTCCAGCACTCTGAGAGGCTGAGGCAGGAAGATCACAAATTAAAGCCCAGCCTGGGGAATTTAGTGAGTTAGCAAGACCTTGTGTTAAAAAGTCAGGGGAGTGCCAGGGATATAGCTCAGTGGCATAAGCATCTGTGTGGCAAGCACAAGGTCCTGAGTTTGATTCCAGTACAAAAAAGAAAATAAAGTCAGGGGATAGCCAGGCGAGGTGGTGCACACCTGTAATCCCAGCACTTGGGAGGCTGAGGCAGGGGATCACCCCAGGTTTAAGGGCAGCCTGGACTACAAAGTGAGCTCAAGGCCAGCCTGAACTGCACAGCGAGACCCTGTCTCCAAAAGACAAAAAAAAAAAAAAAAAAGTCGGGGGAATATAGCTCAGTACAGAGGCACTGGGTTCAATCCCAGTGGGGGGAAAAAAATCTGTGTGAGACACAGAATGGCCTGTCCTTCTCCCCCATAGTTTCCCACTATCTGCATCCCAGCAGCTGAGCTTTCTCCACAGATCCTTCTAGTGTCTTCTGACCAGCAAGTTCTCTACTACGAGCCACACCCAGCCCCTGTCTTTTTTTTTGAGACAGGGTCTGCAATGTAGTTCAGGCTGGCCTTGAACTCAAAGCAATCCTCCTGCCTCAGCCTGCTGAGTGCTGGAATTACAGGCATGCACCACCATGCCCGGCTTGTTTGTTTTGAGACAGGGTCTTCTTATATTCCAGGATGGCCTTGAGCTCACTGTGTACTCCAGGCTGGTCTTGAACTCCCAGTGATCCTCTTGCCTGAGCCTCCCTCAGTGCAGGGATTACAGGCATACACCACCATGCCTAGCTTCCAGACCCCTTCTTCATACTTTGTTGTTGTGGCTTTTTTTTGTTTGTTTTTGTTTTTTGGTGGTTCTAAGGACTGAATCCAGGGGTGCTCTACCACTGAGCTACATCTCCAGCACTTTCTATTTTTTTGTGACAGAGTCTTGCTAAATTGCCCTGGTGGGACTTGAACTTGCCATTCTCCTGCCTCAGCCTCCTTCAGTGCTGGAATTACAGGTTTGTGCCACACCACACCTGTCTTCTCTTTTCTTAAATTAGGATAGTCTCTAGGTTGTTCTATTCCATCAATTCCACCAGCTGCCTTCCCAGCAGCCTTTGCTGAGCCCACCCTTTCCCCTCCTTCCCTATTTCTGGTGTCCCCTGACTACCCACTCTCGGAGTACATTTAGCTCTCATCTCCAGTACTGAGCCCTCTGCTCTGAAAACCCAGGCTCTTAGTGTCATCAACCCCCGGCCAGTGTCAGAGGACCCTGGAATCTAACTCATTCACAACCCATCTTTCACCGTAATTTGACAGCGAGCAAACAGAGCTGGCTCTGTCAGAGCCAGGAAGAAGCAGCAGCAGAGGCCGGCTGGGACACTCACCCAGAGGCAGGAGGAGGAGGAAGGACAGGGCTGGGGGCAGGGGCGAAGGGGCAGCACCCCCATCCTCAGGTCTCCAGCCCCTGCTCATCTCATCCACCTGGGGCCCGAGGATTCTGATTCGAATCTCTGCTTCCTTGTGCACCCAGCCAGCGGACGGCCTTTCAGACGGTCCCATCAAGGGGGTGGGCAGGGTCACAGCTGGAACATCTGGAATTCAAGATTGCAGTGCGTGCTGTCAGCTGGAGGCTCCAGCTTTGGGGGGCACGTGTCACTGCCCCTTGGCTTTGAAGTGAGGGTGCTAGTGACAGCAGAGAGATGAGAGAAAAATGGGGTGTGCAAGAAAATGACGAGGAGTTAGGTTCGGCTGGAATCACAGAAAGGAAGGAGGTAAGGGGTGGGCGGTGAGGCGGGCAGGCTGCCGGGCCAGGCTCAGAGTTTGTCCTCAGGGCCGCGTGTCCTGCGCTGTGGTTGGTGCCACTCATGGCACTTAATTAACCCACTTAATCTTTTTTTTTTTTTTTTTTTTTTTTTTGGTTTTTCTCCGGTACCGGGAACCGAACTCACGACCTTGCGCTTGCCAGGCAGGCGCTTTTGCCG